CCCCCCCCCCCCCCCCTTCTCTCTCTCTCCTCTTCTCTCTTTAATCCGAGACCCACCCACCCATATAAGCAAAAATTGAACCCATTGTCAGTATCCCAAGATTAGAGCACCACACTCTACAGAAGTGAAATGGCCAATCAGCCAGAATTCTAAGGGCCTACACCCTTCAAATCGATACCCAACCTGGCCAATTATCAGCCATGGAACGAAACTCTAGCTCTGCACTCATCCTCAATCCCACCAATTAACAATCACAATAACTCAAGGCGACAAACAAAGATTTCTTAAAAGAGACAGGCATTACTTAGAAACATGAAAGCTCCAACAATCATCCAACAGACTGATAATACTGAAATACCAGGAAAATAACACTATACTAATAAAACTGCAATTGTCCTATGAGATGAAGTGTTCAGAGTTGAGACTTTTTTCTAACTTCCATGCCTTACACAAAGCCTAAACCAAACAGTTTTTGACATGTTTTAGAATCCATATGCCAATGCATTTCCAAGAAAAACGACCCTATTAATACTGCACCACCATGATAATACAGCAAGGATGAAAGCCAAACATGGAGCATCCATCCTTCTTTCTACAGGGAGGTAGATGGATCTAGTTAAGAAAGGGAGAGAGAGATTGACCTATGCGTCAATGGTCACTCTTCAAACCGAGAAGGGCCCAGCCCTATCGTTTGGAGGGTCTCTCATCATCCTCTCCACCATCATCATCGTCATCAGAGCCTTTGTCTGACCTCTTCCTCTTTGGTGGAGCCTCAACTTTTCCTCCAGCATCGTCATCATCGTCATCCTCACCATTCTCCTCTGGTTCAAAATCACTAGCATCTTCCTCATCTTCAGCACGAGCCACTGGTCGAACAAGGTAATCAGTTCCAACATCCTCCTACACAGCAATTGCAGACAGATGTCATCAGAAAATGCAGAAAGATAAGAAATTAGAGCAGATTAAAAGCAATTTACAGAAAAATAGGAGAATACAGGCTTTTGTGGGGGTGTAAAAATTAAGCCAAATGATGGATCTGCCCCTGGTGTTCAATAAGTAAACCTTGACAGATGAGTCCACGAGGAAACAAAAAATTCAGTTGACCTCAAACAGTATAATGACGGCGACAACAACAAACATTCTGTCTTAGCATTGGATAGTAAATGTGAAGTTATGTTTAAATGGATATCCATAATAAAAACCAGAAATGTCAGAATGAGTCAAAACTCAAACTTCGAGAACAGTAGCTGCATCTTTCTTTTGACTACCCTTTTATCAATTTCATGCACAAACTTAAAAACCAACACAACATTTAAAATCACCAGCCAAAATCAGCCAGGTTAAAAAAACATTCCTAGCCACTAGACGAAGATAGCGCCTATATAGCATCCAACTCAAAAAGCCAAAAACCAATTGGCAATGATTGGAGCAACCCTTTGATAATATAAACCAATCTTCAGTGATGCCTACTCATTCGGGATACAAGCTTTCTTTGCATCCTTCCTTGTGTAGGGCACGGGCTCACGTGAGGCTAAAATACTATGTTAGAACATCCAATAAAAATCAATCAACAATGAATGGAGTGACCCCTTCACCATGTAAATCAATCTTGGGTAGTCAAACGATATCTAATCATTTGACATGGGATATAAGCTCTCTTCTTTATCACAAAACAAAAGAGAATATAAATAGGTACTACATAAGACTTCCATATGGGTGGTCTTCCATGATCTATAGACCAAAGTTAAACATTTGAGGTCACATTCTGCTCTTAGGACTTCAATCAAAAATAGTTTTGGAACAATTTCACTTCCATGGGATATCCAAATTCTTCATGAGACAAGGGAATTCCACTAGGGACCAAACAAACCAACATAGAGAATAAGTCAAATTACTTCAATTATAATTTGCAATAAGGTGCGCAAACAGAATTTAAGAAAAACTACAAATCATACAGGATACTATAGAAAATTTTCACAAAGGCTATGGATAAAGCACATGAAAACAAAAAACAAAAAAACAGATCGGATTAGAAATCATGAAAACGTAACTTAACAAGGAAGAATGGTGGAAAGGATGGGTAAGCTAGAAAAGTAGTTGGCCCTGGAAATTTTTTTTTGTGGAAAAGCAGATAACAAGAAGAAAATATTAATATGCCACATCCATGAATCCTCTAGGGTACCAGGTCTTTATGGCTGTCATTCATATTACTCACATCATATGTGTAACTACGGGCATGTTATTGACTATAAAACAGATCGAAGTCACAAAGAGAGAAGAGTATCAGGGAAACAACTATTACTTTTCACCTGAAATTGATTTCCTCACTCGGAAACAAATTTCCCATCGGAACAAAACAGAGGTAAGGAAAAAAGATTGCAACTTAATTTTTTGTTTCTACACACTAAAAATGATAAAGAAAGGAATTTATATCACCAGATCTGAACATTTTAACACAGATTCAATCAATAGTTTACAAAACAAACACTTAAAAAGGGAGCAGAAAAATATTTAGCTGCAAAGATGGGAAGGTATTAACAAATTGATTCAATCAATTCAAATAAAAATCTGCAGAATTATCAGATCTGAACAATTTGAACACAAATTTCATCATATTTTACTAGACATTTTCTAATCATCATATTTGAGAATAATTAAACTGCAAAGCTGGAATATTTTTAAATTTCATCCATCAGCTCTAAGAAAAACCATTATTTTACACTTTAGAAACAATTATTTTTTTTTTTTACCTCAGAAATAACTTATCCTTAAAAACAGACAGAACAACATAGCAAAAGTAGATATAAAATCAGAAGACCAGATCTGAACAATTAGTTTCAAGCAGAGCACGCCCAAATTACAAGACATAACAGTGAAAACTGAGCTAAATGACCAAATTAACAAATAAACGAGAAATAATCAGAAAATAAAGTAATTTAAGTAAAAGAAAAATCACCTCCTCCTCTTCTTCTCCATCTTCGTCGTCGTCGTCGTCATCGTCATCGTCATCACTATCGCCTTCACCGTCCTCATCATCGTCTTCCTCGTCCTCGTCCTCGTCGTCCTCATCATCATCGTCTACTGAATGAATCGGTGGACCACCAGAGCTATGCAAAACCTCCGTCTCGTTGTTCTCTGCATCCTCCTCGTCCTCATCATCGTCATCATCATCCTCTTCCTCTTGACCGTCGATCTCCTCAATATCGTCCTCATCTTCACCGTCCACTTCGTCTTCACTCACGAATCTAATTTCGCTCTGTTCTTCGAATTCTCTCTCTTCCTCCATGATTGTCAATTTCTCGAGAAATTCAAAAATCACAAACAAAAAAATTTCTCGGATAATTAATTTCGAAATTATAGTCCTGAAAATTCTGGGGAAAAACAGGGGAGGAGAGAGAAAGAGGGAAGGGAGTAGAGGAGCTTCATGCTTCAGTCCCAGTAGCGCTGCAGAACTTTGATCTGGACCGTTGAATTACGAACTGAAGGGATCGATGGCGTGTCATAAGATCGGACGGCTGTTATGAGTGAACTCGAGTTTCTTGTGTTATTAGGTGGTTTGCGGCGCTCTGTATTCTTTTAAGTCCAGCGTCACGTGACCCGCGTGTGAGCGGCATCTAGGGTTAGGGCTTATATATGTTACTGTGCGAATTACATTTCTGGGCCGCCACTTCAAAATTGAAATTTGGGCTGGGCTCCTCCAACTGAAACAGAGCCCACTTAATCTTTTTTCACACCCTTGTAATTAATCATTTCTTCGAGATACTCTCTGTAGTGAAGTTTTAGGATATACAAAGGGTGTCTTTGAAGATATAGTTAACTACAAGTGTGGATGAAAACTTCTCTTTTTTTTAGAAAACTATAACCGGGATTAAAACTCAAGGTGTTCATCACTCCATCCATACCTAATGTTTTCTTACACTTTGAATAACGATGGTTATATTTGTCCTTATGGAAGATCCTCTATAGACTTGAAATTGACTTGTCGAACTTCAAGATGGGCTGGACTGCACAGAGCTTGTGGTGGTGGCTCGATTCCTTGATCGTTAACGTGGTGTGGACCGTTATTACTGTATTAGAGTCTATGGCCTTGGTTGTCATGTTTTGTTACTTCATCTTCTGCGGCTGTAATTTTTGAATTCTACCCCTTCTTGTACATATCTATAGCTGATCACTTGTTTGTGGCTTGTAGATTGTGGTGACTTGTTTTTTCCGATGGACTCGCCGGAGTTCTTAGCCTGATTTATACGTTAACTTGCAATTGAGAAACAATGTTTTGTGTGGTAACGTTTTTTTCTTTTTCTTTTTAAACCCATTTGAGCTTTAGAGAGGCTGATGAGCAAATGCTAAAAGCCAAAGTGTTAAAAGTACCATTCTCACGGTTAAAGACTCAACAATTAAGTTTGACACAGATGAAAAGTGAAAAAGTGTCAATAGTAAGCCAAAAAAATAAAAGAAAAAATGAATAGATTAGGGGTTGACAATGAGCGACACTGCCTGGCTTGATAGGCAACGGTCCAAAGTCGAGGTGGTGGGCTAGACAACTAAGCTGTTCGCGGATCAATGAGTGGAGCAGAGAAATTTTTTTCTCTGAAGTTCAAAAAAAAAAACACATCCTCCCATATATATATAAATATACACACATATATATATGGACAGAATTTTAAATTTTTAATGAATTTTTTTTGAATTTAAGTTGATCAAGTTATTATGTCATATCCGAAATTGAACTAGAATTAAAACCCAAATTACGAGCTCGAGTTCTCTTTCCCAGACAACTTGGGTTGGTGGCCTAATTTGATCATGTAACCTGTCTAAGTTGTCCGAATTGCACCCCTAATCCTACGTATTTAGTAGAATGTACATTAGATTACACTGGCCTTAATGGCCCTATTGTTTTTTAAATCAATTTTTGTAAATAGTAATCTTTTTTTGTTTTTTATCGGGTCGTTGAATATAAGATCATATTAGAATATTTTTTTTAAATGTTTTTTGAAAGTCAGTACACTTTTAATAATTTATTTGACTTTAAGTACAAATTCAAAAAAATATTTGGCAAAAAATACACTTTTGACTAGAAGGACATAAGTACCCATAACATCATCGCATCACTATTAAAAAAATCAGATAAAAAAACTAATTAATTTAAGAAATAAAACTTTAAAATTTTAGAGTTTTCTTATATTGGGACTCTTGTTCTTTCTCTCACTTTATATATATATTAGTTATTATCCGTGTCTGAAGGCACTATTCAACAAAAAAATTACACTTGAAAGCAATGTATAACATAAAGTACCAATCAATATAAGTCCATTATTCAAAAAATAAAAATCGATAAAATAAATTCAAAAAACACAAACTTTGGATAATATCAATTTGGATACACAATTTTTATAATCAAAATAATACAGAATACAAATTTTTATTTTTAAAAAAATGACTCATGTCATGGTCTTTCATAATATAAACCTCTTCCTTCCGAAAATAATTCACAAAACTCCATTTTCATGAAAAATTGAATGGACTACTGTAAATGAAAATATTTTACTCTTTTATTTTTTGAATTGAAAAATATTTTACTTGAATTAGAAAATTAGATTAAGTGAGACTTATTTACTCATTATCTAAATACACAATAATTTCCAAACTCAAGCTATTATTTTTGTTCTCTATGTATTAAAAAACTAAAATTTCATAAATGAAAAAAAAATAGCTTTCATGAAATGCTAAAATCAAATGTGTCACTCTAGTTCATCAATAATGAATTTAAAAATTATTATTGTATAATCCAAACGATAAATATCCAAATAATAAACAGATTAAATTAGTTACCATAAAAGGAGTGAATGCATTAAAGTATGCATAATTTGGAGAAGATATGTGTATGATTTGTTGGGGTGAATAAAAAAATCAGGGAGCCGTGAATGGAATGTAAAAACTGAAGAGTATTAATTTGGGATAATTATAAATAGCAGGTGTTTTAAATAGGAAAACAAAATTCGTCCATCAATCTAACCTGTGCTTGAAGGCACGAAATTTAAAAAAAAAATTCCCCTAACACACTTCTCAAAACAACAATTGTAATATTTTTCAATACTTTTATCTGTACGCAATGCTGGTAAACAAAGACCTATTGCATAACCAAATCTCACTAATGAATTACTTTTCAATACGTTTAGAAATGGACACCTGTTTGAAGGCACTGTACAATAAAAAATCACCAGTTAGAAAAATGATAATCCATAAGTCTGTCATTTTTACAAAAATGAGATGATACACAAAGAAATCAAACGAATAGATGAAAGTAACATGAACTCATCAACATGAAAGCAAAGATATCCACGGGCAAAAGAGGAATACACTATGAATTACTATAAGAATATCAAGCAGTTGAATTTCTTCAAACCACATAGCTTGTAAACAAATCTACCCAATGCTCCATCTTTTTCTCCGCCAACCCAAGTACCTACACAAAAGAAAAGAATTCAACACATAGCTTATTTCCGAAATATAGTTTAAGATGATACACTTTCATAAATGCTACTTTCCTAAGTACTCTTCTCTAATTTGAAAGATAAGTGAAATATATGTACACAACTTCCACAGTTAAAAAAAAAAAATTGCACTCAATTCTTAACTAAGCAATGTTGCTTTCAAAATTTAACATAGAGGGAATACTTGCAAGCAAATCTCTCAATAACAAAAAAGTAATCACACAATTGTGAACTCAAACCCGATCATGATCTATCAATTATAAATTAATATCTATGAGTTGAATAGAATATGATGAGGAACATGAGAAGACTGAACAATGTAAAAGGCCAAAAACAATGCAGTAAGACATAAATATAAAAATTCAATGCAACAGAAAACAACCAAAACATAAACAACATAATACATAATAGTTCATTGTCCTTATCCACCTTTTTTTGTACTTATATTATTTCCTATTAAATGATAGTGTTACTTCTTATCAAAAAATTTAAAAACACCATTAAAAAAAAACTTTGGAGCACCAAGAAGATACAATCTTCACTATTCTATTTGTACGATCAATTGTTGGCCCTAATATCAGTCTCAAAGCTCCAGTCTAAGCATAAAGTCATTCAAACCCATATGTCACAACTCACATATGTCCGTAACACCTATATAGAGATGAGAAATGCTTTGGACCTTATTTAGGGACCTAATGATGTACAACCATTGGATTTGTTGTGGGTATAGAGATATATGTACATAAAATATATAGAATTCCCAAACCAAAAAGAATGAGTAACAATTCCAATTAATAAAATTTCACATAAATCTCTTCTTGAACTATCACCAAACAAACTATAAAAAATCGCATTAAGAAATAATAAAATGTGTAGAACTTGATACCTAAAATGGAAGAAGTACCGCCAGGGAAGAAGACCCATATTTGCATATAAGCCATTGTGTGACTGTTCAACTTTGCACCAATGTTAAACCATGCACAAAGCTTTTGCTAGTCTCATGAACATTATTTTCACATCTTTTGCTAAGCATGAAAGGTTTTATTCCACTGTTAAAGCAAACCTATCAAACAATTCAACTGAAACTACAATAATTTGTCCTATTAACTTTAAGAAACCTCATAATAATTTTTTATGTACGCAATAAAAATCTAGAAGGCTATGGTTATAGTATGGTTATTTATTTCTAGTAAAAATCTACATAAACAATCAGAATACATTTGTAGCCTGTATTAAAAAAGTGAAAAATCAATCACATATGAATTGGAGAACTGAATGAATTGGAAAATTGAAAAATAGGCGCAGCCTCCTTAAAAGTATATAATCCACTACGTGCACCATTAAATACTAATCATAGATTAGAAAATACTTCTTAAAACACACTCACAAAGTCATACAATGAATTCGTATTTCTTTGGTTCTTATCAGAGCAATCAATCAAAGGACGATGTTTGACAAACTTAACCAATCAACAAAATACAAATTTTCCATACCTACTGTAATTCACCCCTTCAACAGTCATTGGGTCCATTTCTTGACTGACATAACTTTTTCATTCTCATCATTCCACTCATTGGCCACCACAGTTGTAGCACTGACTTGATCTCATAAGTTTATAACAATTTTTTTTATAGTTCAAACAATTATAAGTCATCCAACACCACAATGAAGTTCCAGAGATGAAACTTAACCTACATATCGGCTTCACGTCAACCTCTTCCCCAATATGTAAATGAACTCCTGTAACAATCAAGCCATGTATTAAATATTGTTACATCATTCCCAGAAAAATCAAAACGTAAAGACTACATTAAAGAACTTAGAATGTAAATTGATTATACCCAAATAGAGCTGAATTTAGGTACTTACCGCAAAAAAACGAATAATCTACGAATTTAGGTACGGTAGTAATGCACATTGCAAAATTAACTATATATCTTCCTAAACAAATAGAACAGAAATCCTAAATCCTAAGTTGATCAGATAACTCTAATACTTTTGCCATCAACATAATTCACAAATTCTTTGTGAAATAACATATTATTACCCTATTAAGAAATAAATAAGAGAGATAGGGACAAGAAAAGGAATTAACAAAATCATTAACCTCATCATGTTTCAACAGCTGGAATAGTTTGAGATTCACATTTGATGTATATATTAAAGTTTCATACGGAGCCTACTGAGAAAAACCACAATTTTTACAATTCAAAACTCAATCAAAACAACATGAAAATTATATTAAACAAAATACAAAAATTTCAAACTATTGTTATAACTCCACGCAACCAAGAATAGATTATCGATTCCACAAAGGGAAATTAAAAACTGGATCAATTCCATCAAGCTTGCCCTAATCGAAACAATAAAACCCTAGGTTTTGTAAAACTAAAATCAGAGAAGTGGTCAGGTGAATCAACGAAGCTGCTGAGGCAGAGAGAGAGAGAAGATGAATAGAGAGAGAGGGAGACATACCTAGGTAGCGTCGAAGGCGGTGAGTCAAAGTTATGGCATCGTGGTTGTTGTTGGCGGCTTGGCTGTGATGATGCAGAGAAGGTGCGGAGAGTGATGAGGGAGAAGAATAAGGGAGAAGAGAGGGATATATAAGAAATAGGGACGTGAGATTAGGGCAGAGAAGGGGGAAAAAGGAAGGGGAGAAGGAGAGAAAAAAAGAGAGACATGAGATTAGGGTGCACCCCTGTTTGCTCGAGTGTCATGGGATAGGGGAAAGGACATTGGCAGAGAGAAAAAAATAAAGAAAAGGGAATGGGCTGGAGATTAGGGCAAGATGGGAGAGATAAGGCAGATTGAGGGAGTGATCGAGGGGATTCAAACAAATAAGGCCTGAGATTTGAGAGGAAAAGGATAGGCATTAGGGTTGAATTCGGGGTCTGGTTCCTCTGCGATAAGGATGTTATCGCATGTCACGCAGTTTAATAAAATGACACCGTTTTAGGTGTTATTTATATTTTTTTTAACAGCCCTTCTCAAAAACGACGTCATTTTTAGTCCTTCCCCCATCTGATATCCCTTCGACTTCTTCATATTGTGGCTGCCTTCCTCTCCATTGAAGATTTGGTTTTCTTCTAAGTTGAATCCAAATGGTCTGTTTCCATAGCTCAATTTTAGTTGACCAACACATCATCATGGCCAAATCTGTGAACTCAACCAACCCGTGTTCCAAATTGAGGCAAATTAATCAAGTGCACAAGAATAAGAAGACATCCAACTCGCCAAATCATCTTAGTATTCCTTCTTGCCGACAATCTCGATCTGCTGTGATCCATGTGATAATGTTCATCACTGTTATTGGTGCTTGTGGGTTTCTACTATATCCACCTATGAAGCTTGTGTTGTTTGAAACTGTAGAAATTGTGGAAGTAATTGTTTATGTGGTGAAAGATGAGATTTTTTAGGCTTCGATGAGTAATGGGTGTTTAGGACTAAGGAGGAGAAAGAGAGACAGAGGGTAGGAGGAGAGAGAGGAAGCGCCTGACTGAGACTGTAAGGGAGGAGGCACCCAAAGTTGAAGAAGATGAAGGATTTGAAGGACCAAAAACGGCTGTTAAGAAAAAAATTGTAAAAAACACTCAAAACGGTGCCGTTTTATTAAACCGTATGACATGCGGTATCCTCCTTAACGCAGAGGAGCCAGACCCTGAATTCAGAGGAAAGAGAGAGAGGCGTGAGTTAGGAAAATTGTCCTTAAGGCGATAAGGAACGAGGAAGAGAGATTTGGAAAAAGTCAAAAAACCTTGATAATTAAAAAAAAAATATATTGTTGGGCAAAAAAATAAAATTCAGTACTCATTGTAGACTGTCAGATTACTATTTATGAGATAATCTGAATCATCTTTTATGTTGTCTGTTGGATGTGTTTATATTTTGTCTTAAAACGATCTGGACCTTTCTTTGTCTTTTAGATTCAAACTTCTTTCTATTTTATTTTATATATATATACACAAAACTAAATTCAAAACTTAAATAAATTTTGAATTTCTTAATTTAAAATCTTTCCCAATTCATTCAAAAATTCTTAAATTTTAGGAATTTCTTACATTAGAACTATTTTGTTCTCTCCCTCTTACACACACACACACTTACATACATACCAGGGGTAACTCGTGTCTGAAGACATGGTCCAATGTAAATGAAAAGTGGTGGATTGGGGAGTGAGGGAAATTCAATATTAATAGTTTGAGAGAATTACACTCAGACCACCTGAGGGTTGTCGTTTGATCACTCAGACTCTTGACATTTGAAATATTACACACAGATTCCCTAAGATTTGTACGCGCGTAACACTTAGACCTCTGCCATCAAATATCCGTTAATATATTTTTTAGTAAATTATACTCAGGCCCCTTGAAGTTTATAAATGTATAATACTTAAACCCTTCAAGTTTAAAATGTTATACTAAGACCAAAAATATTTTAATCAAAAATAGAATATCAAATATTTTAAATTTTAAAATCAAAATTCATGTTCTATTGTATCATTTATTAAACTAAAATCAAAAACCAAAATTTAATTTTTTCTTAAAAAAACTTAATTTGTATACAATTATACTATCTATTGTAATAAAACTAAAAAATCAAACAAGGAGTCTAAGCAATTCATAATAGAACATGGATTTTTCAACCAAAATTCATGTTATATTATATTATTTATTGAAATAAAATCAAAAATAAAATATTAATTTTTCTTAAAAAATCATAACTATTATATAATTATACTATCTATTGGAATAAAATTAAAAAATTAAATAAGGGATCAAACTATAATGGAAACAATATATTTTATCTTTAATAAAGACAATTTTGTATTTTAATTTGACGTTTAAACGACCAAATTAAATTTTAGTAGATAGCATAATTGTATATTAATTATAATTTTTAATAAAAAATTAAAATTAAAATTTATTTTAATAAATATCATAATATAACATGAATTTTGGTTGTAAAATTTAAAATATTTAATATTCTATCTTTGATTGGAGTATTTTTAGCCTAAATATAAAATTTTAAACTTAAAGGGTCTAAGTATTATACACTTATAATTTTAGGGGGTTTGAATGTAATTTTTTAACGAATATACTAACAGACTTTGACGGCAGAGATTTAAGTATTACGTGTGTATATTTCAAATGTTAGGGGTCTGTGTATATTTCAAACATCAGGGGTCTGAGTGATTAAGTGATAAATCTCAAGGGCATGTGTGTAATTCGCCAAAATTTTTTGATAGGGATGTTAGTGGCATTTGGATGAGTCGATTTAAGACCGTCGAATGAACTTATTAAAATCTGTCATATTTTATATTATAAATTATCTAAACACGCAGTAGTCCCAAAATTCAAGCTATTATTTCTGGTTCTATTTGTATTAAAAAATTTAAATTCTATACTTCTCGCATTAATTTAAAAATTAAAGTTACATAACACAAAAAAAATCATTCACTTACTCAATGAAATTGATAGGCCAAGTTTAAGGGGCCAACTCGTGTTACAAGCCCGAGGGCCCAACTCTAAGAGGTCAAACTAGTTAAGTCCAAAGGAGTCTGCACCCGGGCAAACTCATCAAGTTCCAAGAGTTATATCAAAAAAGGAGTACACAGGGTCATCTAAGAGCCTCCTCTATCACCTTGGGATAAGGGAGCATCCAAGAGCCTCACCCTCGCCGCTCGGAGAGAGTCAACCTTCCCTCATTCTTTAACCAAGTCCCTTGGAGAGTATCATAACTTCCTTACCCGTTGAGGAGAGGAGAGGTCGCCAAGCTATTTAATTATCATTAAAGTCACCCCAATCCGTTATGACTATTAAACGGCCCCAATCTGTTACAACCACTAGACTAGTTATTTAATTATTACACTAAGCCACTATAAATTGTAAGCCCCACCAACACTTGGGGGGCATCTCACTCATTTTAAGAATAACTCTCTCCTCCTCTCTGAAAGCTTGTAATCTTTTGCTCTCCCATTGCACCGGAGTTAATAAAATTACGGCGTCTCTTGCCATTTCAAGTGGACGTAAGTTAACTTGACCGAACCACTATAAACTTGGTCTTCTCTTTCTCTACTTTATTGTATTTTATATTACTTAATTGATAACTGATATGTAAACCAATTTTGTGCATCATCAGTTTGACACCGTCTGTAAAAATTGATAAAATTCTCACTTACACGTAAACATTTTTTTTGCTGAATTAAAGACGATCACCGCCAGGATCCATGAGTCAGTTTGAAGACATTCCACCACTAAAGGAGGAGGTTGCTCCTCCACCTACCAATCCTGCCCCAAATGCCGTCCAACTATGAAACTTTTCGTGAATTAATGTTCTTAAAATTCAGCAATTAAGCCTTTTCATTGTGTATCTAATTAATTTTAAGATATATTCCTAAAACTATTTTTAGGAAAGTAAGGCCATGTTTGGTTAGCTTTCCGGAATTTTTTTTTTTGTTCTCAAAATTTTAAAAACACTTAAAACCTGTTTATTTAACATTTTTCTTCTCAAAATTTTGAGAAAAAATTAGATTTAAATCAAAGAAACTGAAAACAAGTGCAGTTTGTTTTCAGATTATTTCTTTGAAAATTTTGAAAATAAGGAGAACAATTTTGAACTTTAATAAGTTTTACCCTTCAAGTCTCTTCAGCGGCAAATTTCTTTATTCCTTTCTCTCATAATATAATATAATATAATATGTTATATATATATATATATATATATATAAAATTGTCAATAGAAAAATAATTTTTTAATATTTTTTTATTAATGTTTGAATTACTGTTTAAATATATATTTAGACTGTTCAAACATGTTTTACTATTTTATGTATTGTAAAATTGTTTTTGAAATTATCTAACCAAAGAAGTTTTTTATCTCAAAAAATATCAAAATCACTTGCTTAAAACTCTTCTCAAAAACTGTTTTCAGATACTAGTTTTTGAAATGCAAACCAAACAGACCCTAATATTCTTAAAATCCAACGGTTAAGCTTTATTACTATGTATCTAATTAATTTTATGATATATTCCTAAAACTATTTTTAGGAAAGTAATTTTAAAAAAGGGCATTTAAGTTTTTGTATCTCAATAGTATACTTCTTTATAATATATTTTTTTTATGTATTTTTTTATAATTATGTCTAATTTAGTGTATCGACGACCTTTTTAATAACCGGCACAATCCACCGGCCTAATGGGCTGTTCATGGGCCATCACATAATGGGTGGAATCATGTGGCATACAATGGCACCCCCAAAAACAATGCAAGGATTGGGCTCAATTTCGGGCCATCAGTGTTGTCTATTAGACACAAGAAGGCCCATCCCAAATGTCGACCGTTGAACACAACCATAACACTTGTCCCGTCGCGGTTTGGACACGTGTGGTACAATTAAAAGCCAGACCGACCACACGCGATTTGTCCCACCTCTCTCTCTCTCTCTCTTAAAATTTCAAAAGCAAACGCTAAGCCCTCTCTGTGTAGTTCTTTCATTTTCAGGGTTTATCATACATTCCCAGAACTCTTCTCTTTCTTCATACGCACATAAAGATTATATCGCAATTACTATTTCTTATTCGATTATATTTTTCACTTGAAACCCTCGAGTTCTTTGATTCTTGAAGCGACCATTGTGGTGTGTATGGCATATGCGAATCATCGTAACCAGATAAACGTCTCTGGTCTTCCGAATCAAGAACTCTCTGATTTGAGAGCCGTCAATCCTCTTCCTCCTCCGACATTTGTTCCCGGACCTCCACTTGGTGTGATATACGTAAACCCTTATTTTGGGCGAGTCGTGCCGCAATTGGTACCTGTGATCCCACCTCTTCGTTTTGCTTTGAATCCAGCTGTGGTGGTTCGAATGGAGGTCGAAAGATCAATGTCTCTGCTTCAGGTAAATGTATATGAATCCCATTTTCTTTACATTCCGTTTCGTTAGTGGTTTTAAGGAGGCGAAAAGAAAAGACAATGTTGATTTTTTTCGGGCAGGTAGTAAAATTGATTCGGAAGACCAAAAACGTTTATTTGGTTGTCATGAAAAGATAAGCAAGAAAGGAACTTTGATTAAACTTGTAATTTTCTTTTTCTTATTCAAGATTCCGAGTCAGTTTTGAGAAAGATTGCTTAACAATGATAGAAAGTTTGCTTTTCCGTTTCCTCCACTTCGCCAAATCGGAGAAGCATTAATTCTTTTGCATTCTGCTGTCTTTTGTTCGTTCTTTGATTGTGTTTTTGGTATGTTTATGAATTTTGGTTATTGTAGTTGATGGAAAACGAGGGTCTCGTGCCTTCTCCAGAGGAAGAAATAAAGAGGCAATATGTAATTGACAATCTCAAACAGGTATATTTCTCTTGTATATGTGTGTGTTTACATGTTGATCTACATACGGAAGTATGTTCTGTGTATTTATCATTTATGCATGGAATATTTGCATCTGCTGAATCCCAGATGGGGAAATTCTGAATGACAATCATGAACGAGTAGCATAGTATATTATTTGGGATCTGGTACATGAAATTGCATAAAGAGTTTTGACTTCTCTCTCTCAGTAAGATAATTTTTTTTGCTGCATATAATAGTGTGTTCATAGTTGGTTTGGTTTTTAAGGAGTATAGTCAGCCAATGGACAGTGTCCTTGTGAATTCTTGGACATTAAGAAGTGCATTGTTGTGCTCTGAAGAACATTGGTTTCTTACGAATTTGTGGCTGATTTTGAACTACTATTATGTTCACATTGGTAACACCCTTGCAGCTAATTTCAATTGTGGCAGCGGTGTGCATGTTGACATGAAATTCGTTTTTAATTTATATTGAGTTACGATTTTTGCTATGTATGCTAGTATTTGCTTGCTTCAATAAAGTTATATGCTGTCCATCGTGAGTGAATTTTGTTGTTTCATGTTTTACAGATAGTGATGGAATGGATTAAGAGGATTGCTTACCAACGTCATCTTCCAAGAAATTATATTAGAGCCGCTTCTGCCACGATATTAACTTATGGATCCTATGGCCTTGGAGTCGGTCTTCTTCCTTTTTTTAAAAATTTTGTTGCATTTTTTAGTGGGTTAAGGGTGGGATTATTATTGAGAATCCTTTGGACAGTTGTGAGATTCCAACTCATGAAGTGGAAATATACACCTTCATCTGGCAGCACAAATTTTGGGGCTTATGGGACTGGCATTAGGTGAAACCTAGTCCAAATTTTGAACTAATATTCCTTTTATTGCAATTACCAGGGCCCCAATCTTGTGCTGCCAGATACAGCATTAGTTTATTTTTTCTTAAAGTGATTTAAATTGTAATGGCCCAGACCACAAACCGTTCCTTTGGCGAAAGAGCCAAAAATCTTCACTATATATGCTTATGTGCTCTGCTATTGCGTTGAGAAGGTCTTTCTTGTTGCAGCTTTCTTATCTCTCTCTCTCTCCCCCACAACCCCC